GGCACCAAATGCTAAGTCCCCAATGGTGTCAAAGGCAACGTAGTTGAACCATTTTAGACAATCAAGATAAGCTGTTTTATCCCCCGTAGGCGAGTTTTCGATCAGCTCATCCCACCTCTTGACAAACATCTCAAGGTTCTGGTGAATATATGGCTCAAACTGATATATGGACTTCGGAGCAAACGTGCTTGACACTAGCTTCCTCTTACGAGTATGTTCGACGCGGTCCCGAGTGTTGAATAAACCACGTCGGATTGAAACGAAGGCGTCGTAGAAGTCAGACTTGAGGAATCCATTTCCGTGGCCATAGATGACCTGGATAGCGTCGTCGTCGGCAACGCTCACGTGGTTTGGCTGAATACGCACGACTGGGCCTAATTTCTTATGGACCTTATCCACGACGAGATAACGCCTTCCTCGCCTACAGGCGTACAGAAGCCATAGATTAGTGAATTGAGCGGGGAAAGGCGCTGGAACTCTTCGAAGGTGGCCGTTTGTTACTAGGTATGAATGGACATAGTAGATTACAATAGCAAAACACCCAAAACCCAATGCCCAGGGCAGTGGAATCTGATCAAGGATTGCCATTTCGGCGGTTGGTATCGCAAAAGCTGCTTGATTTCGAAAATATGTCGATATTGCGAGTGTTTAAATACTTTTTTCCCCGGTCACACTGATCCTTCTTCACACCCCTTGCAGGAATTTCGGCGGCTAGTTGGCATCGGCCTTATAGCGTATTTGAAGAGGGTGATGCGGAGGTCTGAGGTGGCTCACACCCCTCAAATACACATATAAGCATCGTCGGTTGTTAGATTCGGGTTGTGCCAAAACCAAAATTTAGAAAGCGGATGTAGTCCGGGTTATGTATGATTATGTATGATTACCTAGGTACGTATAGGGCATTAGCACTAAAAAGAAGACTGAGTTGTGCTATACTGGTACCTAGGTATACCTACATAGAGGTATGAAACTGTCGAAGTGACGGGGCCGTCTTAACTGTCAATCATTCACACCTTCCAGAATTCAGACCCTGTTCGGTAGACGCGCACGGCTAAGGCTCATGCGACTTCTTATTGCCGAAATTAACCAGACTTTACCTAACAACGGTAGCGCATGCATATTCAAACTATCTTCTCCAATGACGCGAATTTTGAAGCAGGAATTTGGGGAAGGAATGCATTGCAGTATTTATTCACATGTGAGCATAATTAAATGCATCACATCCAATTACATATACACCGCCCAATACCAATGTATAATGTTGGTTCAGTTGCATCCTATTGAATGCTAAATATAATAATTTGTTGGTCAATATTGAATGGTCCGGGGTTGGAACTTTTGCTAACCCCAGCTTAACAACCGGCGCCAACAATTTGAACCAAACACCCAACAAGCAAATAAAATGGTCGGTAACGACATTTTATGATGCATTATACACGCCACGCTTAGTTCCATAACTTAAGGGATAGAATCTAGGACAATATCTGAATTATCTCAACTAACGGTTTGAAGTCACTGAGATTATACCTAATAATGAGTTTTGATATGTTACGGTGAAACCCCGCTCCCAACGACGAGGCACATTCGATACGCTGTTTGTTAAGTACCTAATATAATCTGTAGTGGAAACGACGTTGTACCTATTGAAAGTTTTCTGGGGTGGGTCTTATAGCCGGTTACTCTTAGATAATACATTGCTTTCGTAGCGCATAGTACCTTAGGTAATCTACCTACACTATAATGATGATCAATCATAGGTAGTATTATATGGCTAAAGAGTATATGCACTAAACCGTATAACTATTACCTTCAGGTAACTTTCGACGCTGGTATCTTGTGGCTGACGTCAGGTCTTTTTTTTATGTGCCAGTCGTGCTGGATATTTGGCTACACGATAATATCGGGAGAGCTCGTAATGGAGGACTTCCTCGGTTGTCGACGGGATTGTAATTATCTAATATTCTTATTCTAACGTATTTAATTGACGGGATTTCTTTCTGGATCCCGATCTCGATTCTTGGCTCCCGCCTATGGACGATCCCGGGCCTCGGTTATCCTAAGTCCTGAAATATCGGCGTTCCACATTGCCGACGGCACGTACACGCGGGAGACAGTTACAATCTATTGGACAATCTTGGTCATGGAATTCATTGTACGATTCGCCATTGGTCATTTCATCAATCCAAGAAACTGTAGTGGAAAAGTTCAACACAGCCTATATCAAATTTTGACTATTTTAGAACCCTCTTCGCGGTAACCTCGTCTAACAACGCCCCCAATTGATTAATCTATTCATAGCTTGCCGGCTGTACGGAAATCCTCAAGTGCCTCGATGACACGGGCCTTCATGGTCTTCTCACCTTCCCTTACCCACACGCGGGGGTCGTACTTCTTCTTGTTTGGCTTGTGGGGACCCTCGGGGTTACCGACCTGGGTCCTTAGGTAGTCGATGTTGTTTAGGATGTAGTCTCGGTGGCCAACGAGGTAAGCCCACTGGAGATCGGTGTCAAGGTTAACCTTGACAACACCGTGGGAGATGGCCTCCAGGAACTCTGCCTTGCTTGAACCAGAGCCACCGTGGAAGACGAAGAAGACCGGCTTCTTCTGGCCATCGCCCAGCTTCTGGGCGACGTGGGCCTGGTGCTTACCGAGGAGCTCGGGGTGAAGCTTCACGTTGCCGGGCTGGTAGACACCGTGGACATTGCCGAAGCCAGCAGCAATGCTGAATAGGTTAGAAATGGGGCTAAGCGCCTCGTAGATGGCAAGGATATCCTCGGGCTGCGTGTACAGGGAGTTGTTGTCGACGTCTTCATTGTTGACACCGTCTTCCTCACCACCTGTTAAGCCGACTTCCATTTCCAACCACAGACCTAACGGTTGTGATCGCTTTAGGTATTTGGCTGTTGTCTCAATGTTGTACTGAAGATCTTCCTCCGATAGATCAATCATGTGACTGCTGAACAGAGGTGTTCCGTGCTGCTTAAACCACGCCTCGTCGGCGTCGAGCATGCCGTCTAGCCACGGTAGTAGCTTCTTAGCGCAGTGATCACTGTGTAGGATAACGGGGACACCGTAAATGGGGGCAATTGCGCGGACATAGTGGGCGGCAGCCACGGCACCGGCAATGGAAGCTTCTTGGTTTGTGTTAGGGATGGACTTTCCAGCAAAGAAAGCAGCACCTCCGTTGGAGACCTGAATAACAACAGGAGATCTCGACTCCTTAGCAGCCTCAAGGACAGCAACGACAGTAGAGGAGGAGGTCACATTGACGGCGGGGAGAGCGAACTCGTTCTCTTTGGCGTATTGGAAGACCTAATTGACGCATATGTTAGCCGCCTGAAGTAGGTAGTTAGGTAGTTAGGTATTTAGATATCTAGTTTAGTCACCTACCTTGTAGACATCCTGGCCGTAGATGACACCAGGCTTAAGATTCAACTTTTCGATTAAACCCATTGTGAAGTGTATCTAAGACGACGCAATAAATGAAGGTTGAAAAGGAAGGCAGCGAGCTATAGGTAATTAGATATGTTATCGCAAGAGGTAGAATATTGTTGGTGGAGGATGTAATACCTTTTTGTAAAATTGGTGAGAAGTCTGAGGGAATAAAAACAGTTGACAACAAAAGGTTGAAGAGAAGGAGGGGAGGGGCTATAAGAACTATGGAGGGGTTCTTTTTCGGCCAGACTTGATCCACGGTGACGCAGACGGCCGAGATTTATTATGGAGAGCTTATGGAGAGAGCTGCTACCCGGATCATTTCGCGAAGTAAATTGTATCATACCATGAAAAATTCTGGCCAAAGCTTCCCTACACAGTTTTTAACTAGCGTGACTTCTTTATCTTTCTATTAGTGCCGTTTAGTATTTGCCGTCTCCAAGTACTTTACGGAGCAATGGACGCACATCTATAGCTCTTTCTCAAGATACATCTAGGTAATAAGCCGGTAAGCTTCCACAGCGCTCTTACCCCTCCAAAAGCATTAGGAGCTTGCTCGGAAGGTTAAGGTGGGGTAAACCCGTCTTCTTCTCGGCGCAACCAAGCAATAGCGTTTTTCAGTTTACTAATAGATTATGACATGACTTTTAATTCTGTCAATTTTTAGAAACGTGTTATAAAAATTCGCAAATCGCATATAAGGAATGCCACATCAACCACATCAATGTTTTTTTACTTGTGATCCCCTGGAGCTATGTTGAAGTCAATTGCGGAGCATCTTTCATCATAGTACATGAGTACCCAGTCAACAAACCAAAAAAAAGGGACCGCCAAGTCCCACCGTCTTATCTTATCAATTATATGTTAGTAGGTGGGTCTCAGAAAAACGTTCAGCCAACTTCGACAATGACCTTTGACGTATATCATACGTTTATTTATTCTTTCGATTTTCCTTACGATCATTCTTACTATAATATGAAATATCTATAGTTTTCAACTATATAACACTATCGTTTCTGCTGTTCAGTTGGCCACAACTCTTTAAACTCGTACGTTATCAAACCACCCTTAGTTGAAACTTTCAACTTGAAAGTGGCACTAAGCCACCTTACCTCGGTGTGCACAAATTTGAAATACTCATTAATAACTCAAATCGGTCCGTATTATTTCTTATTGAATGTTTTCTTTTCAGTCTCGAGAGCAAAAGTCCATCGCCTGAAAATATTGCCTATCATAACAGGTTGATGCCAGCGGAATACATGCTTGTAAGACTATTACCGTTGGCTTTGTGGGTTGATAAGAGCCTGCGATATTAAAAAAGGGGTATGCCATCGTTGGTTAGCACCACAATTCCACTGTACAATTACATGTTGGTCTTGTTATAAATCATTAGCTCTTTGTCCGGCTTCTTATACTACTGCCTTGTCATATTAGTGAATTTAGAAATTCACGGCTCAGTCCACTCCTTACGCTAATTCTCATATTAGCGCAACCGTGAAAAGGATTGAGGAATATAACAGACTGCAACTCACGATGCAATTCATCGGCATTGCCAGTAATAGGTTGGCGCAGTGGCGGAGTGGTCTAACGCGCAAGACTGTTAGTCTTTCCCCTTTGTGTAGTCCATCCAGTAATATGCTAATATCCACCAGAGAAATCTTGTTCCTTCGGGAGCGTCTGTTCGAATCAGGCCTGCGTCGTTCTAGTATTATTTTTTTTGCTTCATGTAATTTCAAACCCTTTTATACCTGGGTAGGTAGTTATATTAATAGGTATCTATCTGATTGGTTTAAGTGTCATGGAAGAGACTACTATGTTGGGTATATTCACTTACTACGAAGCTCTATTTACCTACTCTCTTAGGCATGAATAGCAAGCATGATAAGGGTTTAGGTGAATAAGTAAAAAGAGTTTAATAGTAATAGCCTTATTAATATAATATTGTCATAGACTAAAGGTCATTCTATTCACATCCCTTAGGTTGAATTTGATCGACTCGCAAATATCGGTTGAGGTAGTTGATAATCGAGGAATTATATTTTGAGTTTACAATACCTAGTTACACTAGCTAGGTGCCCAAGGTAATAAAATCATTTTGGCCTTTTATTTGTAATGGGATGGTAGTGACAAGAAGTAGATAGTATAATTATACGATGGGCGTCTATTTTGAAAAATTGCTTGTTTGAAGCTAACTACCTGGAAATATTTTAAGTGATTCTAGATATGGCCATTCAATTTCTGAATTAATAGCCACTGCTTTGGTAATAATAGTTGATCGAAAATAAATCCATTGTCGTGTTTCAATAGTCCAACAGATCAAAGAAGACGTCCCTCAACACGTGCAGGCCCATGGGCCAAAAGACCAGAGCGAAAGCATTATAAAGAACTCGAAATACTTTTTCTTTCTAATTTGCTTTTTATATTACTCTGCTACACTAGACTATATTATAACATATTACAATCCTTTCCTATAGAAGCGATCACCATATTTTCTCATTGGAATGCGCTTTTAATGACTACTCCAAGCTTCTAACTATAGACACCATGGATAGTGAGGAGAGAGCTTATAGAAGCCTTTATGTAGCCACTCAACGCCTACATCTAGACCACATTCTATCGCTTTGCTCAACGGGGCGTAATTGGACAGCTGAGGAAGTCTTTCAACAATTTAAGAAGGATATGGGCCTCGAGCCGTCTAGATTTGTAGTACGACTTGCACTCATGTACATATACAATAAAGGCGAAAGAAACTGTTCGAGTAAGTCGGCAAGGAAAGAATAATATAAGTATTAGTGCTGTCTACGTAAACTCGACGACGCACCCCAAGGGGGTGTTGCGCATTATATAGGAAAACGGCCAGTAATTAGGATTTTTCCGAATGGCTTCCGGATAAGTGTGCTTCTTACCTATTTCGATTTATTTTTTTAATAATTCATAACATTTTATACAGCTCCATAATCTTTTGTCCTCTTTTAGAAGCTGACGAAAGTGTGAATAACCTCTTATTGGCCCCTTAAAGTTTGGTACGCTAGCCTAATTAATGCGCAGCACCACCTTGGGGTGCGTCGTCGAGTTTACGTAGACAGAACTAATAACTAAAATGCACGAAAAGAGTAAGTTAGGTTAAGTACCTGCTATTCATACAAATAGCTCAGCCACAATAAAGGATACAGACTAGGCAACAAAGAATCCCTGTTAATAATGACTTAGGTATCCATAACTGAGGACTTGAGCAAAACGCATAGGTACCTATCTATTCAAAGTGATGCTCTTGAGATTTTACTTCACGGAGTCCGGCCCCGCCGGCGGCTCCCCGAGGATCCCGCGTGTGCACTTGGCAGGAAGCTGTCAAATTTATTGACTTTTATAACGACGACTTAAAACTATAAAAAGACTTAAATGTACGCAAGGTAATAGTAATAACTCGTAGCTTAGTTTCTACTGAATGTTAAATATCATCAAATTATTTGCAGACTAGTTTTAACCCCCTAACGACCCTCGAAACAACTATCCTCCCGAAGATGAATCAGATTACGGCAGACGTAGTAGTTATTGGAGCCGGCCTCAGTGGCCTTCAGGCAGCAGTGGATATCCAGGCGGCTGGGTTTACATGCTTAGTCTTGGAGGCTCTCGACAGAGTAGGTGGCAAGACACTAAGTGTCAAGGCGAGCTCTAAACAAGGAGGCGTTATTGATTCCGGAGCTATGTGGGTGAACGACAGTAATCAGAGTGAGATCTGGAAACTGTTTGAGAAGTACAATCTTGGTACGGTTGTCCAAAGAGCGGCCGGGATCAGCTTTCGACAAGCCGAAGACGGTAGTACGATTGCACACCCTTATCATAAAGAAGTATCTGTGAGTTAGACACCTTTCCGATGTTAAATCCTTAAGAGTGAAATAGTACCGCTAATGTTACAAATCCCCACGAAGGATGGAAATGAAGAACGCGCGCATGAGATGGGTCGTATATACAAAGCACTTCAGGAAGCTGTTGAGGCGTCGGATCTTGAGCACCCTGAGACGAGCGCCTGTGCACAAAGCCTTGACACTATGACGTTCGATGAGTTTCTCCGGGAAGCTGGCCCTAATATTGGAGCAGCAATTGCCTCTGTAGCTTCTGCCGCTCTACTCGGTGTTGAAGCTCACGAGGTTAGCGCTCTATTCATGGTTAATTACATTAAGAGTGGATTCGGTATAAGGGTAATAACGTCAGATGAGAAAGATGGAGCACAGTATATTCGTGCTCGACGCGGTAAGGAAATAGATAACCTTTCACCTGACTCAAGGGGTAAATGTTGTCATTGCGGCTAACACATATAATAGGTATGCAAGCCATATCGGAAGGCCTCGCAAGCGAATTGACTCCGGGCTCTCTTCACTTGGGTACAGCAGTGAAGTCTATTCAGCAAGAGGATGGATTTTATGAGGTGCATTCCACTACGAATACTGTTTTCAAGGCCAAGCATGTGGTAGTGTCAATTCCGACCAGCTTATACCATACCATCCAATTCACTCCACCACTGCCTGAGAAAAAGCAGAAACTTGGTGAGAGCACTGCTCTTGGCTACTTCAGCAAGGTTTCATTGGTTTTCGAGAAGCCGTGGTGGCTTACGGCGGATTTGTCGGGTGTAATGACCTCTTACAAAGGGCCTATATCTTTCACTCGAGATACCAGCGCGCCAGAGGACGACCAATGGTCCATAACCTGCTTTCTTGTAGGGGACATGGGGCGCGTCTGGAGTAAATCATCATCAGAGGAGCGCCGAGTCGCAGTCCTAGAGCAGTTTAATTCTGTCTTCTCGACGGCGACGGCTGTTCCGAAGCCTATTGCCATTCATGAGAAGATCTGGTCTGAGGATCCTTATTTTCTTGGTGCTCCATCCCCTGTAATGGGCCCAGGGGTGCTTACTTCACTCGGCTCGGATGTGCTGCGGGCGCCAGTCGGAAATATCCACTTTATCGGCACGGAGACTTCTGTAGTATGGAAGGGTTACATGGATGGTGCTGTTCGCTCGGGTCAGAGAGGAGCAGAAGAAGTTATCAGAAGTCTGCGAGGATAGGGAAATTTTGGGTATGCCTTCATGCGTAGAAAGATAAGTCAGATTTCACATTGGCGCTTAAGAAAGACCAACGATATATGCGGGGAGGGTGGGTGCAACTACCAAACTTTAAATTGCTACAAACTTTACAACATTCATTTACTCAAGTTGTTATGACATTCTCATCTGGTAAACGCAGAATTTCAGTACATATATATTCATTGAATGCGTCGAGGTCGTCGTTAATACTTGTGTATGTACCAAAATGCATTTTGTTTGAAGACTTGCTTCCCCTCTCAAACCTTTAAATTTGAGACATCAGAAATCCCGAGCTTATGAAGTGCTGCCAACGCATCATCTTCTGTTTGGTCCGGTCCTAGCTGTAAGTAAACGGGCCAATCGTTTATATGTCATGGCAGACATGGCTTGCTGCAGGCTGTGTATGACCCGACCTCTTTTAGGCCTTACAACCCAACTTTCACATAGAAAGCCCGGCTGTTGGTCTTTGTTTTCATGTTTCTCATTCCTTCTTAAAGCAGTCGACTAATAAGTACCAGTCACCAGAACCATCTCTAGGCAACCTATAGCTTCTTAATAACTAACCTAGAGATATATATCAGAAGCTACCCCTGTCTCCATTCCGCAATCATCCTAAGAGCGGCCCAATTCACCTCTACTACTACGCTCTTGTATTCTCTCAGTTGTGTCGAGATCAAGAATATCTACTCATAGCATACTATCGCGAGTGATAAAGAGGAACTATCTATCTTAGACACCATGGCGAACGATGCAACGAGTGTTTGGGGTTGGATCCAACAGAACCCTCTCAAGGCTATCGCTTACGGAACCGCTGGCGTGGCAATCGCGGCGCCGGCCGTTATCGCCGGCCCGGCATTAGCTGCGGCTGGATTTGGAGCAAGCGGTATTATAGGAGGTAAGGTTCTATATCAGCGATTTATGTTTTGCTCTATCTAATAATTAATCTGGTCACTAAGCCCTCTTTTTTTGAAACAGGTTCGATAGCAGCCGGCGCCCAGTCTGCGATTGGAAATGTAGCCGCAGGAAGCTTATTCGCTACACTTCAGGTTAGTGCTCCCATATCTCCTTACCTGCTCAATCAAGGCACCTTAAGAACCGCGGGTAAATACCGAGGACGACCATTCGTAGAGATGGCTAAGCGTTATTCGACGGCTAGAGCGCTGGCATGGCTGGCTACGGAGCCGCCGCTGTCAACGGTGTTATTCAAGCGGGAGGCATCTTCGCTGCAGTCACTACCGCCTTGGCATCTAAGAGCCCCGACCGACGGAAGCTTAATCCTCTAGAATACATGCGCGATTTTCTCAGCGACGATCACAGTGATATCGATAATTGCTTGCAATTTCGGGGGATGTTGAAGAGTGATGTTATAGAAGTTGAAGAAGATGCCTGGGATGACATTGAGTTGGAGAAATTGATAGAAGTGATGGAGACGACGCCTCAGCTGATCAGCTGCCTTCAGAAAATCAAGAAGTCGATGATAAACTACTAAATGGAATATTCACAAGACTGCTGCGTAAATGGTTATTGGGTCTGTTTGGTTTCGGTACTTGTACTGTAGGGCTAAGAAGGACAGTACATAGGTACCTAGGTACCTAAGGCAAGAGATTTACAATATCTTAGTAG